AATGAGTTGACATACTTATTTATCAGTCTGCACGGGGTTGCGATGAGTTGACATAACTCTTTATCGGTCCACACGGGGGGTACGATGAGTTGAAAAATTCTAGAGAATGATGATTTGATAGATTTGATGATAACCTAAGTGTAGGTGATTATTGACATTCTTTTGACATGAACTAATGTGAAGGTATTTCACAGCTTAGTTACACGGCATAGTTTATTCGATATATGATTTGCCCACTAAGGGTAGTATATATGAGAATTTGATATGATATATGCGAATATGGTTGATGTGATATTTATTGTATTGATTTCTTGTATTCATTTATTCTTAGTTTGGAGTTGGTATTTAGTGATTCACAATTTGAGATACGAGGTATATACATGAGAGTTTCCTTGTTTGGATTATTTCGCTCGACGTACCCATTCTCATGTTGTGGATTTCTGAATAGTAATCTTAGTTGAAATTTATATTTAGGAGTTTGCAACTTGAGGCACATGATATATATATGAGGGTTTCCTTATTTGGATTATTTCGCTCGACGTACCAGTCTTGTGTTGTGGATTTTTCTAAATATAAATCTTAGTTAGTACAGGGTAAATTGATTTAGGTAGACTATGCACTTATAGGTAGAGCCTCCATCATACATAGTAGCCTTTCCCCTGGGGGCGGATGGAGATGATCTTGCTAGCGCTCTGACGTTGTGATTTTCACTTCTTTTCAGGTAGCGAAGCAGAGTTTCGGAGAGCCACAGGTTGACGGACTTTCAGCATAGTCACCGTCATATTTTACAATAGTTTGGCTCCACAGATGTTTAGTTTATATTTCTAGTTTATGTTTAGTTTTGTATTTTATATTGAGAGCTGAGAGAGCGTACATACTTTGAAGTTGACTCTTGTAGTTGAGATTTTGGACCATTTGTATCAGATTGTTGGACATATTCTCTTTTATATCTGTTGAGAGCTAATTATCTAGAGATTTATCATTTATTTCTATGTTTAATTTCTTGTGCTCATCTTTTATATAGCTACTTGTACCTATATTGTTTATTTGATTCCACTAGAAAGATATTTCTGTGATGGTGAAACAAGTCGTTGCATGGTATGGGTGCTTGGCAGGTATGACATCCTGTGATTCACCTTGGACTGCAGTCTTGTATGAACCCTAGGGCATCACAGGTTTGTCGACCGAAACATGTATTCGGTCGACCGATCAAGGCTGTATTTTATGCATGTTGTGCACGTCACCGCTTGGTCGATCGATGAGATACATCAGTCGACTAGTCTAGTGCTGTTCGTAAACGTTGATCTTTCTCGTGTACTTTTGATCACAAACATGAAGTGTGAGTCATACGTCGACACACGTGAGAGACCATGAGTGGGCATGTACTGGATTTGAGCACGCACAAGCCTATTGATATGCGTAGTCTAATGTATTGCGTATGTCACGATAGGGAGTGATGATTATTTTGATTTACGATAGTTATGGATGCTTGAGTGCGTTGGTCCGTGCACTGCAATGAGAACGTGGACGACTACACTCTGAGTGTGCTAGTCCATGCACCGTAATGAGAACGTGGTTGACTACACTCTGTGATGCATCATTGTTTTAGTGGTTGAGTGCGCATGTCCGTGTACTATACGATATAGCAGGAGACTACACTCCGAATGTGTTAGTCCGTGAGCCACATGATACTGTGGGTGATTACGCTCTACATATTTAGGAAGCCTATAGCTCAGACGAGTACTATTTGTGAACATAGATCAATATTTAACATTCTTATATGGCAGTGTATATTTTAACGAGGCTTTCACAGGTTTGTACCTTTACTTCTGTGACACCTACCTGAGGGTAGCGTGAGGTACTATGATACGACATATACTATTTATCTTGTATGAGATGTTGATGGTGTATTTATCCTTGCTGATTATTTATTTATAGGATTTGGAGTTGATATTTAGTGATTCACAATTTAAGATACATGGTATATATATGAGGTTTTCTTATTTGGATTATTTCGCTCGATGTATTGTGGATTTCTAAATCTTAACTCCTCTTAGCTTAGGACATATGAATTATATATTTTATGATTAGTATTTTTATATACCTAACCCCCTTCCCCCTAGGGGCGGTGAAGATGTTCTCGCTAGTGCTTTGACGCTCGTTGTTTCTATCTTTTTTAGGCAATGAGTCAGGGGTTCGGAGAGCCGCAGGTTGACGGGAACTCAGTGTAGATTTTCGTTAATTATAAGTAGTAATTTAGCACTCCACAGTAGACTATTTATGAGTTTAGTTTTCTTTTAGTGATGCATTTTATTTTGGAGGCTGAGTGCTTATGTATTTTTTAGTTGACTCTCATGTGTTAGAGATTCGATGTTCTTATTCTAGTTTACCAGATGTACTCTTTTTTCTCCTGTTAGAACATATTAATACTGTTGGATGACTTTTATCTACGGCATGTTTCGTATATTTTTATCTTTGTTGTAGCTGCTTGTACCCTCTCTATTTTATACTTTGTTTTCTGCTAATTACAAGGGAGAAGGTCCTACTTGTATGATCAGGAGCTAATTACAAAGCAGAAGATCCTACTTGCTGATTAGTCAAGGCTGATGGAAGCTGAACTTAATTTTTACAAATAGAAAGCTGCAATAATATAGCTTGGTAACACTGCTGGATTTTCAACTTTTAGCGACGGACAAATCCGTCGCTATAAGTTGATATTCCGTCGCTAAAAGTTTTAGCGACAGAAAAATTACAATTCCGTCGCTAAATTTTTGACGCTATAACAAGGGTGCCTAAAAAGACTTTTGGCGACGGACATTCCATCGCTAAATTTTAGCGACGGTCTATTAGCGACGGAATGTTGGTCGCCATTTTAAAAAAATAAAAAAATAAAAAAAAATAACGACGGAAAATCCGTCGCTAAAATCCGTCGCTATTGTTTTTGGAAATTATGCACGTATGGTTTCGTGCATGTTTTCCGTCACTAAATAGGGCTTTAGTGACGAAATTTCCGTTGCTAAAATAGTTTTTAGCAACTGATTTTCCGTCGCTAAAAATTTAAAAAAAATTGGAAAATATTTTGAAAATTGAAAATACCCTGTACAATATCGATAATAATTTTTAAAAACCTGTTCAATCAGCAGAAGAAACCTTCAATCTTACGCAAATATCACATCTCACGCATATATCACACATTTAATTCAATAAAAGCAAGTAAAAGTTTCTCGACAGGTACATAATAAATATTGTTTATACAACACAAGAAATTGTTTTCAAAGTTATGTTAAGGACAATCAATCCTCCTGATCATCATCATCATCCTCATCCTCAACACCAGCCACATTATGACTACCCCCGGCTGCACCTTGTGAAGAAGTCCCGGCCTGTAAATATAAATCAAATGTTAACAAGTGTGTGTAAACGTTAATAAGAGTACAAATATAAATATACTACAACACAACACCAAAACATCCATGTTATTATTATTATTATTTGGGAAGTCAATATCATCATGTCTAAATTATGCATATAATTCATTGATATAATATTTTGACTATAGATTATATTATTTCGTGTTCTCCCTATTTCAAGCATCACAAATAGGTTCTGATTTCATTTATATGAGCAGCAAAGCAGAAAATGTGACCACCAATAGCCGATCGCAAGGAATAAGATTTCTTTCACATCTCACCGGTACAAGCTATCTTCCTCCCTTAATTTCATAATTACTGCCACATAAGCTTACTATATATATCTAATCTTGCAATTACCAGCCAATGTAGAGACAAAAGCAGCAGGTAAAGCATGTGCAAAGCCACTCCAAGCTAGAAATAATGCAGGAGTAAGGTAATGGCTTAATGGATTCGGAGAGTATTATGTTATTCAATCACTCCCTTGGATTGTTGTCTTAAATAGATTTAACCAAGCTTATATTTTCTCTACCAACCAACCAACCCACCAACCAATACCACCAACACTACGCATGCATACACCATCAACACCACCATCACATAAAAATATTATAAGTATATATTTTGAGGTCTGTGTTAGGGTTAGAGTTAGGGTTTGTGTGTAACAGTTTGTATCAGTGTGTATCAGTATGTACGATATCATCTTATTAAAAAAAAGCAAAGTATATATATTACCTGTGACGACAAAAACCGTCTCCTATATGCCTCTTGAGCCTCCTGAGGCAGAGTTGACATGAATTGTGTGAACTCTAATACGGTCTGCTCCCGGCGCCTCCGTTCTTCCTCTAGAGCCCGCTGATATGTTGTTTGCTGCGACTGCCAATCTTCAATCGCTTTTAATCGCTGCTCCATCGAGTCTTGATATGAACTGCTTCCCGGTGTTCCTTGTGGTGCTGCAGACTCGTAGGTGCAACTAGACTCATGCGGCCTCTGCTCGGATCCTCTCCACCGGTATCTGTTCTTCCTACTAGGTCCAATGACCGTCTCGATGATGGAGTCCTCATCCTCCCTACTTAGCCGGGCAGGAGTGTTAGAACAGACCTGAGACTGAGTCAATTGCTCCTGTACCTTGGCATGTAATTTCTCCTGCGATATATAAAAACAACCCGAGCAAGTCGACTTAATAATGATGCATTGATATGAAATTGAATATATAAATGAACTGCTACTTACAGCCAGATCCTTATTCTTTGCTTTCTTCTCTTCATTGGCGTAATTCGGGCTCCAGGAAGTCAGAATACGATCTGCAAAATGTCTGAGATCTCCCCTTCCCTGTTTTATTCAAATATATCATTAACCTATAACACATAAATTATACTTAACGTAAAAGCTAATATATTATATACCTCAAGCTCTAATTGATGATAATGCTGGCTGAATGTCCTGGAGCCCCGTGATGCTCGTAACTGCGAGGCGTGTTGCGATTCCTCCTTGCTATTTCAGCTTGAGCCTGCAAAACAATGTCAATTCGAAACAATATAGAAATTCAAACAATAAATTAAAAATATATACTTCAATAATACCTGAATTTCATCCGTATCCCAGTAACTGCAAAGTGCAAAAAAATCTACTCCATCCACACGCTCGTCAAGATGCCAGAATCGCTCCCAATCTTCTGTTATTTAGACGAAATATTTTTTCTTTACCTCAAACCGCCATCTTTTGAACGATACATTGATTTGCCCGAAGCAGTACGTCCAGGCACAAATATTATCGTCAAGAAAGAAAAATCTCTTCAGCATATAAAGAAAAAGTAGATACAAATCAGTGTATTAAACATAATAATAAACTAATAACTAATAATGATGAAAATTAAAATAAATGACTCACACATATATATCTCCAACAAGCCACCAGCGTATCAATCCGCTGCGATTTCCACGTCAAAAATATGTTGAAGAAATCGTGTCTCCTGGCTAAAGCGGCAAGGAAATTGTTGAAAGCATTGGCAAAGACCCCAACAGGCACTCTGTTTTCCCATCGGATCACAGCCCTCCGATTAATATCAGGGATGAGGTTCGATTCCTTAGTAGCATTGCGGCCGCGTCTAGGAGGTCGCCCGGTACCTGCGAAACAAAAAATCGAATGAAACAATGAATCAATCTATATTTCCAAAAAAAATTAAAATAATAATCGATAAACTATAAAAATTTATTCATACCTTTCAGTTCAAGGCATCTACGCTTTGCTTGTTCGTACCTTTGCTGCGCGATGGGGCGCATAGCATGATAAGAATCCCAATCATCCCTCACCTTGGCGGGACCGTGGACTCGCTGATCCGGAATAGAATCTGGCGGTAGTGCCGCAGCTTCTAAAGCTACGCTATACGGCTCAAATCTCCTCTCCTCCAATACATCTGCATGCGGTGGCGGTGGTATCTCCGCATGCTGTGTAGGATCAGCCTGTGTCTCCATGTCATGTGGAGCATCTCCGTGTGATGTGTCCTGTGGCTGCGAGTCATGTGTAGCATCTCCTCCTCCTGTGTAGTAAATGTTAAAAAAATATTAGGCTCATGTTAATAGTTTATAGAAATGTACAAATATAACAAATAAATAAAAATACCTGACGTAGAGGCATGTGCGTCGCCTCCAGAATGTCTACCAAAAATTCTCTCAAGCGCTTTCTTACGTAATCCTTTTGTCATCTATACTTTGAAAACATAATGAATATCCAACAAAAGTATATAATGCAAATAATTAATAAAATAGCACATGGCAACAGAATCGCGTGTACATGATGTCCAGTTAAACAGATAATACAAAGGCAATAATGTAATACATGACACACCGTGTTACATGATAACCAGTCAAACAGATAATATAAAGGTAATAATATAATACATGACACATCCACATGATAACCAGTCAACCAGATAATATAAAGGTAATAATATAATACATGACACATCCACATGATAACCAGTCAACCAGATAATATAAAGGTAATAATATAATACATGACACATCCACATGATAACCAGTCAACCAGATAATATAAAGGTAATAATATAATACATGACACATCCACATGATAACCAGTCAACCAGATAATATAAAGGTAATAATATAATACATGACACATCCACATGATAACCAGTCAACCAGATAATATAAAGGTAATAATATAATACATGACACATCGTGATACATGATAACCAGTCAAACAGATGATGTTGAGGCTCTACTCTGCGATCGTGTACGGATAGCCTGCGACCGTGTGCGTGCCAACGAAAGGACTGTTCTTATAGTTTTATCGACTCCGCTGCGGACAGGTTTTTTCCCTTTACGCCTTGGCTCACATATAATCGCAGGTACATCAGGGCGCGCTAGTGCAATTTCATCGTCCAGATTAGTATTTTGTGTCAATGAAAACTCCTCGGTTATTTCGTCGGCCAAGATAACCTCCTCATCGTGATCTTCGTCAGACACGACTCATGAATGTAGGCTCTAGGCGGATTCTTAAGGATAACCCATTCGTCATTGTTCATTATATCTTTGACATAAAAGCACTGTTTGGCGTGAGCAGCTAACATGTATTTTTCAGACTGATATATTTCCTTGTTAAGATTAACGATTGTGTAACCGTAGTCATCCTTCGCCTTTTTCTGTTCACACCAACGAACCTTAAACATCACATGACTGACTTCCTTATTAATCCCATAGAAAACCTCCACGATGTCTTCTACCTGACCGTAGCAATAGATTTCCCCCTGTATCGGATTTAGATCTTTTGCACTAGTGTATGACAGTTACGAGAAGGAGCAGAACACACCGCTGTTTTGTGTTTGTCGTCTCTCTTCGAGACCGACGATGTTAAACCTAAAGCCGTTGACACAGTAGCCTCCATAATGCTTAACCACATTAGAAGGACCTCAGGCATATAAACGAACTTTCTCAGACAGGTTAATCCCATTCGTAATCCGTTTGTCAACCTTTAAGAAAAGAAGCAAATAGTTTACATATATGTTGGCAGGCACATATATTTGATATACGAATCAGAAATATAATAAGATCTTACTTCACCCTTCAGCCATGCAGGAAATTGTCTAGAGTGTGTGTCCATAACTCTCTTATTTTTTGTTCTACATTTAAGATTAGTCTGGATATGTCGGATGTGAAGCCTAGACAAAAAGCATTTATAACGGTTAAATAGAGATAATTATTGTGGGCTTGATCTAATCTGATTCAAACAGTTAAATACTTACGCCACGTATATGTTAAATGTAGCATCATTGCTCAGGATATATGTGTGGGCTTGATCTAGCTCCATTCTGGGGAATCTAGTGTCCTCCCCACGATCATTGTAGAATGTACCGTCAATTATTCGTTGGGGATGGTTTAGCCTTGTCTCCACGCCCCACAAGTAATGAGAGATAAAATTCAAACTCTTGTTACTTATGTAGTTCTTTGCGATCGACCCTTCAGGACGTGCACAATTATGCATCAGTTGTTTCATGAAACCCAAATACATACAAGCATATAGTTTCATGCTTTGTGACAAAATGGAACTGAGATAAACACAACCGGATATGATGATCATGTGTCTTGAGTCCCAAAATCTTTCTGTCCTCAATATGCACATTTGCTGAAATGTTTGAAGCATAACCATCCGGTGTCTTCACGGACTTTAGAAATAAACACATATTATGGACCTCATCCTTCGACAGTGTGACACGGGAGGCTGGGAGTTCAAACTTTCCGTCGCCCTTATCTATAGCTTGCAGTTCCGGACGAATGTTCAATTCTGCTAGGTCTCGACGTGCCCTTAAGTCATCTTTCGATTTTTTCCCGTCCTGCAACAAAGTGTTCAAGAGATTCTCGCATATGTTCTTCTCGATGTGCATGACATCCAAGTTGTGACGTATTTTTAAACTTCTCCAATATGGCAGCTGATAAAATATGCTGAATTTTGACCATCCATGCGGAAGTTCGGTGCCTTTTGAGACACGCCCATGCGACTGGATATTGCGAGGCTTATTTCCTTTTGATTTTCCTTTTCCCTTCCATTTTTGCTTCAATATTTTTCTCCTAACACCAAATGGATTTTCTTTGTTGAATCTTTTTTTTTCAAATATATTTCTAGGTAAAGGATGTAGAAGCTCAAATATTTCTTCTCCAGTCAGCCTTGGTGGTGCCGGTCTACTTTCTGGATTGCCGTCGAACTTTCCTACTAACTTTCTGAACTTGTGCCTTGTAGGCAACCATCTTCTGTGTTGCCAATAACAAAACTTACGGCTGTACTTCAGGAACTTTCCCTCATAGTCTGACATGCAAATCGGACAAGTAATCTGACCCTTCGTCGACCATCCAGACAGGTCAGCGTATGCCGGGAAGTCATTAATTGTCCACATGACCATTGACCGCATACAGAAAGACTCCTTACCATAAGCATCATAAGTGCTGACACCTTTTTCCCAGAGAAGCTTCAGGTCGTCAATTAATGGTTGGAGGAAAACATCGATGTCATTTCCAGGAGAATATCTTCCAGGGATCAAAAGTGACAGTATCATGTACGGTTGCTTCATGCACATCGACGGCGGCATGTTGTACGGTGTCAGCAACACTGGCCAGGTAGACCAAGCAGAGCTCATTAATCCAAACGGATTAAATCCGTCGCTAGCAAGCCCCAGCCTAATATTCCGAGACTCTTTACCGAAGTCGGGGTATATACGGTCAATGTGCTTCCATGCCTCACCGTCCGCAGGATGTCTCAGTTTCCCGTCCTTTTTGCGGTCTGTCGAGTGCCATCGCATATTCTCAGCTAGCTCGGCAGACATATAAAACCGCTGCAGCCTAGGAACAATTAGAAAATATCGGAGAACCTTCGCAGGGATTCTGCTCTGCTTATTGGATGCACCACCTTCGGATGTGCTGGCAGCTTCTCCTTTCCAACGTGATACATGACACGTCGGACATTCCTCCAGAGCTTCGTTACCCTTATTGTACAAGATGCAGTCGTTAGGACAGGCGTCTATCTTCTTGTAATCAAGCCCCATCGTATCAACAATCTTGTGAGCTTCGTAATAGGTCGCGGGGATGCTTTTCTCGCCACCTGGAATGACTTTCCTCAACAAATCTAATAACATCTCAAAATGTGTAACAACCATCCCACTGAGTGTTTGGATATGAATAAGCCTCAGCATAAAAGAAAGCCTTGTGAACTCCTTACACCCCTCGTATAACGGTGACTCGTTTTCTTCAACAACTCTCATCAATCGATCTACATCTTAAAACATATCATTAGTGTTGACATCACTCACCGACGACGCTGCAAGAATATCTTCTAACATATCAGTCGTGTTAACTGTCGGATTGCTGACTTCAGCCAATTCTTCCTCTGATTGTATCACCGGGACTCCTTCACCGTGATGACTCCAAAATACATAAGAGCTATCAAATCCATTGATTGACAGATGAAAACTTACGTCACTCCTAGCGAGCATTTTACCGTTCCTGCAATTCTTACAAGGACAGAAAATCGACCCGCTTAGCGACCGTAGAGGGTTTGTGTCAGAGTAGGCTAAGAAAGCTTCTATCCAATCCTTGTACCGGGTGTCTAGATGTCTTCGATCACATGGTATGCTCATGAAAGATTTGTCAGGAACTGTCCGCATCTATAATTTAAAAATTAATGAAAGTGAGCATATCCCGACATATATCATTTTAATTTAGGGATGTAAACGTGTGTTCAGATGACCGCATGTGTGACCGACTGTCAGAGGAAGGCTTCTATCCCATTAGGTATGTAAACGTGACGTGTATATGTATTTACGTGTGTTCAAGTGTACTTTCAATTCGTCAAAATTTCGGCAGCACCTACCCGCTGTTCTCCGAGTACACTATAGTGGGAAGGATATACTCATGCATATCCCTCCGCAATTTGTACACGGAGAACAACGAGTAAGCGCCGCCGAAACTCTGACGAAAAGAAAGTACACAAGAACACAAGTAAATACATATACACGCCATGTTTACATACCTAACCCGTCCAAACTGGACAGATCCAATAAATATTTATATATAAGCCCCCTCTCACATACGCGTACAAAAAAGTTATCGGACCGAACAAGATGGTCTCGTATCCGCCAACGATCCTGTACGCGTATGTGACAAGTAAATAAAGAGATTATATATAGTATTTATTGGACGGGGTATTCTAACGACCTCAAAAATACTGAAGTGTTAACGGTGGTGTGTAGTTTCTGAGAAATTAGCGATATAATAGTTAATTACGCTAACACCCCTTATCCTCACCCTCACCCCCACCGCTCGAACCTCACCCTCTACCCTCACCAAACCTAACGCCTAACGCCTCACAGCTCAACCTCTAACCTCACCCTACCCTCACCTCACTCCTCACCATCCCGCTGCACGCCTCACCTAACCTAAACGCCTCACCCTCACTTCCACCCTCCCTATAACGCCTAACGCTATCATTAAGCCCTCAAACTCCAGCAACTCACCCCTCA